ACATACATCCAATATGGTCAGAGAAAACCAACTGAATTCCTTTTGGTGACAGTTTGGGGAGGACAATGAAATCCCTCTGTTTAAAAAAAAAAAAAAAGGGAGTCACCTATTTTCTGACCTGTGGGTCATGCAGTTTTAATTTCCTCTACCTTTCTTTCTTTCTCTTTTTTTATTCTTTTTAATTTCATGAACCTGCTTAAGGCCACAAAGCCTCCCCTGAATCCCTCAGCTGTCTGGCAGATGCACCGCTGCCAGTGCTGCGCAGGTTACTATGCCAGGCTGAAGTTCCACAGCTGTGACTCAGTGCACCTTCAAATCCTCTTGCCAGGTGACGGTGAGATGCCCCAAGGGGCTCCTGAGAAGCCGGTGGGAGAGAATAGCCACCCAGGAGCTCCTCCGGCCCTTGAAAGAGGGAGGCTGCTGGGGAGTGAGTCCAGTGGCACCAGGATCTGGTTTATGTGAGCCGAGGCTGGCCAGGGACCCAAGAGATGCAGGCAAAAGGCTGTGCCGTGAGCCACATTCCTCGCTTAGGCCCCCTTCCAGGGGAAGCAAAGTCAAGCCCTGGCAAATGGCAGGGCTGCTTCTTATCTTTGGGCCAGCTGTGAGAATAATGGCATGATGACATGCTACCCATGTAGCCAAGCTCCTCCTCTTCCTCCCTTGCACCCATCAGTTCCATCCTGTTCATTTGCCAGTTATTACAGGAGCACCATGGGCAGGCCACATAGCTAGTGCTGTGGAGATGACAGGTCTTAGTGAAGGAACAGAGGGACTGGCATGGGGATGGGCGAGGGAAACACCTAACTATAAACCTAAACATCTAAAGATCTGGAGGAGCCGCGGGGAAGTGGGACTGTGTGATGATGTCGGACATTTCAAGCCATGCCTCAATGCTCTGACTCTAAATCTCGCTGGTCCTGATCAGTGCCTGCCCCAGGGTTGTAAGTGTCTCCTTACTGGGGTTCTCTTTCCAGGGAGGCATGTGGAGCGGGAATGGAGCAGTGCACAGCAGAGTGACAGGGTCTTGAGAGGACTCAGGCAAGCCGGAGAGAAAAGGCCTCCAGCCAGAGTCAGCTCCACCCAATAGAAAGTTCCCTCTGAAAGCTGGGAAGAGGCCTGCTAGGGCGGCGTCTGCCAGCACAAAAGCAGGGCGGGGGCAGTCACTAACAGCACAGATATCTAGAACAAAGAACGGTTTTGGGAAAGGAGAGGCAGGCTGTATTACAGCTGTACTGGAGATGGATGACTGGGGGCTTTCCTGAGTGCATGTTGTGTGTGTGCATGTGTGTGCATGTGTGTACACATGTACACGCGCTTGCCTGGGCCAGGGCTCAGTCATCATTTCAGGATGTCTTCTGATTGCTCTGGGATGCAGGAAGCCACCCAGACCCGAGTTGCTGGACTCGCTCAGAGGCAAGAATGCAAAGCCGAAGGCGGCATGAGGAGAAGCTGGTGGGGGCTGAAGCCAGCCCAGCCTGCTTCATGCTTACTCCGCTCAGGCGGTTGGCCGGCGCTACTGAGACTCGCCAATCTCTAAGTCTCCAGCGTGCCTGAAGACAGGCAGCCTGAGGACTCAGTGCCCGAGCGCTGCTGGAAGACTTGGGGACACCCCCAAAGGAGGAAAGTGTCCTTCTGGGAGCCACTTGCACAGTGGTGTTGATCGTGGCCGTCCTGCATGTGGTATGCCACATGGGAGGGGCAGTTCCACTGGGAGCTCCCCTTTACACAGGGTTTCCCAGCACCAGAACTCCTTAAACGGAGAGCCACCGGAGTGCCCACTAAATAAACCAACAGCAAACACGAACATATGCTCACAAACGATTCCAAAGAAGCTCTGCACCAACAGGTGCTGGTCCTGACCAAGTCAAGCTACAAGTCTGATGCCACCTTTACCTGTTCCGGATCCCACGACGTCCCGGCTGGGTGACTCAGCCATGGCGTCGGCGAGTCGCTCCCGGAGGCCCTCCTCGGTGTGCTCCATGGAGGACATGTGCCGCAGCCCAAAGCCCTCAGGCCAGCTCCCGCACACCTCCAGCAGGGTCACGCTCCGGTCAAAGGTACCTGTGGCACACACGGGACATCTGACGTTGAGTCCACACCTTCAGGGAGCAGGCCGTTCTTGTCTACCTCCCACCCGCTCCTCTCCATACCCACGGTCCATTTTAGCCTTCCTGCAGGAAGCAGGAGCAGGATGGAAGCACGCTGGGAAACCGACTGTGGAGCGCAGGAGAAACAGCTCACCCCGCCCAGAGAGTGCAGACCTCTGGAGTGACTTCTGTGACACTGAGGCCAGTGGTTTTAAGACTGTTTCTGAGGAGCTACAGAGTTCCCCTGGTCTTCAGGGACCGCCTTAAGAACTGGGACAGGGAAGGCAATCCCCTTCCCACGTTCAACCCAAACGGATCCCTACTTTCCTCTTTTTGATACAATGGGACTCCACCTAAAATTTCATTTAGGGCGGGGAGTGGTGCCTTACACCTGCAATCCCAACACTTTGAGAGGCCAACACGGGAAGATTGCTTGAGGCCAGGAGTTTGAGACCAGCCTGGGCAACAGAGTGAGACCCTGTCTCTATAGACAAATAAACAAATAAATTTTCATTTAAAGAAGGGGTTATATAGCCTAATGGTTTTAAAGCTTTCTTAACCATTACATTCTATAACCTATAACCAACCTCCTCATTTTACATTTCAGAGAATTTATGGCCCAAGATGGAACAGCAAGTCTGTGGCAGACGAGGTCCAGGACCTCACTGTCCTGATGCCTCAGTTGAGAACACGTTCTACTTCGCCACCTGGTCTCCCAGCTACCCAAGGGCATATGAACAACCAGGGAATTATTTTGGGGGATACCAGCAAAGAGGTGGGTGATAGCATCTTCGGCAAGGATCTGTCCTTAAGCCGAAGCTGCTCCCCAATTCCAAAAAGTCTGTGGTGTTCTGCTGAACGCTAAGATTAGATTTTACATGCGAGATCACTTCAAAGTCCGAATTTGAATTATTCTACTTTATTATACAGCAAGTCTTCTGTGAAAGCTTATTTCATCCACTCTCTCTTGGAAGGAGATTATAGTCATGCTCTGTTGCTTTAAGCACATACCATTTCCCCAGTGATTAGGTAACTGAATCCACCGCATTTATTGGGCTTGGTTCCTGCCAGCACCAGGAAGATGGGGAAAAAATGCAAATGCCAACGTTTCCCAAAGTTAAAAGTACACGAAACACACACTCTTTATCAGGCCTTGCTTCTCCTCTTTGATCAGCCGTCAGAAACTATCTTCCCCAGGCAGTCAGGACTGGACAGTGTCAGCACACACTCCCTGCCAATGACAGGTGGTAATAGAGAGGGTGCGAGCCCCAGCCTCGGCAGGCGGCCCTGCCTCTGATAATGGCCACAGCATTGAGGTGATAACCGTTCGTAAACACTCCGACAGCCGGTGACTCCATATATCAGCAAAGAGGACCAGATAATCCTGAACTCTCCTGGCCAGACAAAGGCCCTTGGCCAGCCTACTGCGATTTATATGTGTGGCAAGGGTCACTACTGGCTCCTGAATTTCATCAGCCAAGTTTGGCTTTGATTTATCTCGTACCTCATTGTAGGGAAGATTCCTGGCACTGCGAGAATGGGCAGCATCTATAAGGGCGTCTCCCCAAGAAGAGGCCCACCTTGGGAGTGGGTTGCTTGGGATCAGCTTGTCAGGTAGGACTTGCGAATGGGGAGCTCCCTATGCCACCTCTCTCCACCAAGTAGGGTCAGGCTGTAGATCTGGTAAGCTAGCCTCTGGAAATTGGGGGTGTGGGGCTGGGTGTCAGATGATTCTCCCAAGGCCTGAATTGTGCTAGAACTGTGCACTGGTAGTGCCAATCTCAGAGCCAACACTCGACCACCCTTGGCAACAACTCCCAGGTGCCTAGCTCCCCAGGGACACACAGGGCTGCTGACATCCACTAAGCTCCTGATTCTGCTGCCTACTCACTGCGTGATGCGTGGCCAGTCCTGGTAGCTCCTTTTCCATCTCTAAACTAGAATGAATAACCCTTTGCCTGTCTCACGAGAGTGAAGAGATTAAGCAAAGTCCCCACTTCCAGCACTTCCCCCACTAGACCTTATTTGACAAGATCTAGTGCTACAGTGCTACAGCATCATCATTTTTCTGAAGGGCCTGCATGCGACACGGGGACTTAATCATAACAAGAAAATGTGGCCCTCCTCCTCCCTGTTCGCTCAGCTTTTTTTTTTTTTTTTTTTTTTTTTTTTTTGAGACAGTCTTACTCTGTTGCCCAGGCTGGAGCGCAGCAGTGCGATCTCAGCTCACTGCAACCTCTGCCTCCCAGGTCCAGACAATTCTCGTGTCTCAGCCTCCCGAGTAGCTGGGACTATAAGCACGTGCCACCATGCCTGGCTAATTTTTGTGTTTTCAGTAGAGACGGGATTTCACCATGTTGGCCAGGCTGGTCTTGAACTTCTGACCTCAAACAATGCACCTGTTGTGGCCTCCCAAAGTGCTGGGATTCCAGGTGTGAGCCACTGCACCTGGCTGCTATACACTCAGCTTTCTTATGGACAGAGATGTTTCAGAGCCTGGAAAATTGGGAAGAGAATGACCATTTGTTTTCTCACTTAACAAGAGTAGAAGGTCTATCTCTAGAAAGGAGTTCAGTTAATGTTTGCATATACTGTGTTCAGAGACCAAGGCAGGGGAGCTGACAGCAGGACCAAGAGGAATATCAAAAGCCAAAGCAGGAAGAAAACAAACAAAAGAAATTGGGCTAGGCATGGTGGCTCACGCCTGTAGTCCCAGCACTTTGGGAGGCCGAGGTGAGCAGATCACTGAGGCCAAGAGCTCGAGACCAGCCTGGGCAACACGGTGAAATGCTATCTTGAATAAAAATACAAAAATTGGCTGGGCATGGCGGCGTGCACCTGCAATCCCAGATACTTGGGAGGCTGAGGCAGGAGAATAATTTGAACCTGGGAGGCAGAGGTTGCAGTGAACTGAGATTGAGTCACTGCACTCCAGCCTGGGTGACAGAGTGAGACTCTGTCAGTCAGTCAATCAGTCAATCAATCAATGTTATAGCAAGAAAGGTTAGGGTAAGAGAGTGGGCCCAGTCCATAAGAGATGGTAAAGGCCAGAGGGGTATGTAATATTTTAAGGGATAAAGTAACAGTACACAGGAGAAAAGAATTATGAGCTAGTGTCATAGTGGAGGATGGAAATAGGCCTGGACTTCAGAAAAGACTAACGCATGTGAGCTGTATGATTCCAGGCATGCGTCTCTGATTCCTCATCCATAAAACCGGAAAAACAATACAACCACATAGGACTGTTGTGAGGACTGCAGTAGATAAATGTAAAAGACCTGACACACGGTGAGTGTTCTGTACGTAATAGGTGTGTTCACGTACATGTTCTTAATGACAGATATGTACGCCTTTATACCACTTGAGGCATCATCATAAATTTTGACTATCACAATGATCCTGAGAGGTCACAGAGGTACTATTCCCCATTTATGGTGGTGAAACTGGAAGCTCTGAGAAGTTAAGTGACATGTTCAAAGTCTCTGAGCAACAGATCTGGAACAAGGGTTTCTAATTCTTCACTTGGAGCTCATTCTATCAGCTCACACATTGTTTCCCTCAGCAGCACCTGCAGTGGAGAACTGTTTTTTTTTTTTTTTTTTTTTTTTTGAGACAGGGTCTCACTCTTCAGCCCAGACTGAAGTGCAGTGGCGCAATCACAGCTCACTGCAGCCACAACCTCCTGGTTGAAATGATCCTACCACCTCAGCCTCCTGAGTAGCTGGGACTACAGGTGCGCACCACCATGCCCAGCTAATTTTTTGTCAGGATGGGGTTTCGTCACGTTGCCCAGGCTGGTCTCAAACTCCTGTGCTCAAGTGATCCACCCACCTTGGCCTCCCAAAGTGCTGGGATTACAGGCATGAGCCACGGTGCCTGGTCAAGAACCGTTATATGTGTAAACCACTTCTATCTTTCCTACCATTTTGAGAACTCCTGTCACCTTCAACCAATGGTATTTAAAAATCCTTCCCACTGCTTGGAGTTTGGTGGTGATGACGATGAGTCACCCTGTATACGGGATGGCACATGGGAGGAAAAAAAATTGATAGTAGGTCTATTCTCTCTTAGCATGGGCACAGCTGGGAAGTCGAGGAGAGAAGATGGGAGATACAAGAAGTGGTCAGCAAAGAAGCACCTGATCATTTCTGCCATCCTGAGACGTCATACAGAGGATGCCATCGGTGGCCCTGCTTATCCTGCCAGAAGGAGTCCTATCAGAGGCTCTGTCAAACCCGCTGTCTCTTTCCCTTCCACCCCTCGCAGCCTCTTTGCTGAGGATGGCAAAGGTGCTCCTGGAATCTGCCTGTCCCAGGGTGACGGCAAGGCTGCAGGTGTGTTTCAGCAGGCACTGGGGTGAAGAGGCCAAGCCCTTGGAGGGTGAGGTCATCTCTGGGCTCTTAGGAAACTGCACATCTTGTCCACGTTGACAGCACAGCTATCATTCATCTGACCAGCCCAGGGATACCCCATCAGATGAGCTGGCCCTTTGAGTCCCATTACAGGGGAAAGTGTCAGTTTCAAGCGAGGAGAAGATGCTCACTTAGTGCAGGCTGTTTGCAAAGGACAAAATACACACGCTTGGCAACAGAGATCTTTTGTTGAAGCAGTGCTCTGCTATTTACAAAGCCCTCTCACATTTGTTATTTCAGTTAACTCGCACATACCTCAAATATTGGTTAGTGTCCACTATGATATGTGTCAAGCACTGTACAAGGTTCAGAGTAAGCTTAAAAAAAAAAAAAAAAGAAAGAGGAGCTTATGTGACTTCACCAAACTATGGGAAGCAGCAATGATCACCATTGTATAGATTTCCATCTTACTGAGTTTCAGACACATGAGGCACCTGGTTCTAAGTGCAACTGTCTTCGCAGGCTATCTCCTGGGGATCTTTGCCTTCAGGGCTGCCTCCTGCCCTAAATACCATTTTCTAAGAATGAGTTCAAGTCTTACCTGCTCAACTACTGAAGGTATAAAGACTACTCTTGCTCAAACTCTACAGGCACAAAAGGTGCTCTATCTTTCCAGGTGAAGTTGATGAAAGCTAAGCACTTACTCAAAAAATGTGTGCTTGCAGACACAAAATTATGCAAGCAATTTTGGGGCATCTATGGATGCCTCTGAAACCCACCTGTGGACCCCAGGTTAATTAGATCATTCCTGTGGCCTTATTTCCGTACTGCCTTGCACTGTTCACATAAACTGCTTTTCTAACTAGTTTAAAAGCCCCCGAGGGCATGGATTCCTCCATAATGAAAATAGGCACAGAACTTTGTACATCATGCTTGCTCAAAACAGGTCCGTTTACTGACTGATGATGAAATTTGACAGTCACTTTAGAGTCAACACCCTTTGGGTGGGGTACCAGAGCCTGAATATCTAGGGTCAGAGTAGGCAGAAAGTGGAGTTAAAATTAAAAGAGAGGAAGGAAGAAGAAGATAAGTGAGCAGAAAACAATGTCACGATTTTACTGCCTTCTGTGCACTTATTTTAGATTTGGAGATCCTGGAAATTGGAAAAAACAAAACAATCTGTCTAGGACGGCAGAGAGAGAGCTGGTCTCATCCAGGTGAGCGTCCTGAATCCTGCTTCCCAGCTTGGCATCCTGTGTTATACTCTTTCCCCAGAGGAGAAATGGGTCAGGTTCTTGGATTTCACAAACCCATTAAAGGCATGCTGTGACAGCTGGGAAGCTGGTAGCTCCCGGGGAGGCTGGGGGAACATGTGCTTTGCCTTTGTATACCATTGTTAAAGGGGCAAGGGAAGCCTAGGGACTGCAGGTGGAGGGGGACAGGTAGGATGCTCCTCTAAGCTGATAGCGTCTAATCACACTCTAGCTATTTAAGAGGCTGTGGCACAGCCTCCGCTTTGCATTAATGAGGTTCTGCCCAGGTCTGGACTTTGCTGAGAGCCTGTTGATCAGATTTCTAACCACCAGGGAGGCCAGATACCAAAAGCAAAACCGGCATTAAGCAGTGCTTTGCAAGATGTAAGCCCTCCTGGGTGAGAGGCTGTGATGATGACGTCTACAATAACTAAGAAATGATCCCAGGCATGATAAGGGGAACCAGTGTAGAGGGGAGCCTCCTTGGCAAGCTTACCAAACTGCTCACCAAACTGAGCTTAAGACTGCGGCTGCGGGGAGCACCCCTTTCTCCACACTACAAGCTGGTTCCTATAATGCACAGGCTGAGGACATTAGCTCTTCTTGGTGCAATGGTCAATTTCATATGTTAACTTGACTGGGCTAAGGGATGCCCAGATAGCCAGTAAGGCTTATTTCTGGGTGTGTCTGGGAGGGTGTTTCTGGAAGAGATTAGCATTCGAGTTGGTAGACTGAGGAAAGAAGATTGCCCTCACCATTGTGGGTAGGCATCATTCAACTGAGGGCCTAAATATATTATAAAGGTGGAGGAAAGGCAAATTTATTCTGTCAGAGTTAAGACACTCACTCCTGCCCTTGGACGTTGGTACTCCTGGTTCTCAGGCCTCTGAACTTGGACCAGGACTTACGCCATCAGCTCCCCTGGTTATACACCACCAGCTTTCTTGGTTCTTCACCTTCAGACAGCAGACAGTGGGACTGCTTGACCTCCATTTCCAATTCCCAAAATAAATCTTCTTATATCTATGCATCTCTGTACGTATCTCTTTTATTAGTCATTTCCTTGGAGAACCCTGACTCATATAATTAGCCATCAGATGTGTCCACAGGTATATTATATATACCACAGCTATATTATATATTATACCTGTGGACACATCTGATGGCCAATTATATGAGTCAGGGTTCTCCCACAGTGAGATAGATATAGATATATATCAGATATTATATTATATTATATGTGTATCATATGGCATGGTCCTGAGCCAGGGAGGAGGAGTTCAACAGCAATTGGACTAAGAATTTATTTGCAATCTAACATAGTTAGTTTGACAAGGAGGCCATTTTCACAATTGCAATGTATGATTATAATACACGCTTTAAATGTTAGAACATAGATTATAAATCAAGACATTTAGGTCATAATTGGAACTCTCTCATTAATTTTTCTGGTTACTCTGGGCAAGTCACTAATCCCTCTGGGTGTAATATGTATATATATATGTGTGTGTTTGTACATGTGTATATAAATATATATATGTGTGTGTATACATGTGCATATATGTGTATATATACATATATATAAAATACACACATACATGTATGTAATATGTCATATGCATTATGTCATGACTAACAGATTAGTTCACTGTGGGAAGGCAGGTAGGGTGAGAGGATATGAGGACCCCCTCTGTCCCTTTCAATCCTTTAGATTGGTTCCCAAGATAATAGCCCTCCCATATCCATAGGTAGAGCAAAGGGGCCTGAACTCCAGCAATCTTTTATGACTCCGATTATCTAATGTTCACCAAACTTGTGACAACCAGTGAACCATGTTTGTCCCATATGCATCCACTTGGCTGTGGGGTTTGGGTTTTGGGCATTCGGTTATTCTTAAAGGATACCACTCATGTTTAGAAGTGAACTGAGCGGAGAAAGGAAAGGTACCAATACAGCAAAGAAATGCCTTCGCCAATGTTGAAAAGCCAGGAGACGCTGACGTGCCAGATGTGGTGACAGCACGCACATCTGTTCTCACAGGCCCTCAAGGACCCCAGTGAGAAGGAGCTATTCCTTAGTCAGAAGGCTATGAGCAGACTGCCAGGTGTGGCCAACATGGTCCTGAGCCAGGGAAGAGGGGTTCAACAGCAATGGAACTAAGAATTTCTTTGCAGTCTAACATGGTTATTTTGGCAAGGAGGCCATTTTCACAACTGCAATGTATGCAGTTGCATAATGCACACTTTAAAGCTTAGAACATAGATTACGTCTAGGTCATAACTGGAACGCTCCCATTAACTTTTCTGGTTACTCTGGGCAAGTCATTACTCCCTCTGGGTCTTTTAAAAAAAAATTTTATTCTTTTCCTCTCTCAGCAGAATCATCCCTCTAGGTCTTAATTTACCCATTTATGACACAGAAAATAAATAAATGATGCCCATCTAAGGGGTTCACATTGGCACTAATAGTTTCAATGTCATTAATAATAATATACTTCCAGAAAATGGTGTCTGATATTTGAGGTATCCTAGGGTAAAAGCTACCAATTTCGTTTTCTACAAACCAGGTAACGATCAGCAGTTATACCATAAGAGTCTTGTTTTTACCCAATTAAAGGCATATGTTAAGCAGAAGACCTGGGTTCAAATGCCAGCTCTTGCTACTTCCTCACTGCATGACCTTGGGAGAGTCATTTCCCCTCTTTGAACCTTGCTTTCCTCATCCACTGCAATGGGTAGAATGGTGCTCCACCCCACCCGACCTCCCAAAAGATATGTCCAGCAGGAGCCTCAGAATATGGCCTTATTTGGAAATGGGTCCTTGCAGATGTAACTAAGGATCTCAAGTTGAGATCATCCTGGATTTAGGGTGGGTCCTAAATCCAATGACTGGTGTCCTTAAAAGAGAAAAGAGGGGATCAGAGACACAGAAGGAAGAAGCCCATGTGAAGACAAAGACAGGTGTGAGTTATCCTGCCTAAGCCAAGGAATGCTAGGAGTGGTGAGAAGCCAGAAGAGGCAAGGAAGGACAGCATGGCGCTGTTCGCACCCTGATTTCAGAATGCTGGCCTCCAGAAATACAAGAAAATGCATCTGTTGTTTTAAGTCACCAAGTTTATGGTAATTCCTTAAAGCAGCCTAGGAAAATAATAAACCTATAAAACAGGGAAACAAATGTTTGGCTTCCAGGGCTGCTGTGAGCATCAGATCAGATAGTATTAGGAAAGACTGTATTAAACAAAAGTTGGTCAGGCATGGTGGCTCACGCCTGTAATTCCAGCACTTTGGGAGGCCGAGGCAGGTGGATAACCTGAGGTCAGTAGTTTGAGACCAGTCTGACCAATACGGTGAAACCCCATCTCTACTAAAAAATATAAAAATTAGCCGGGTGTGCTGGTGTGCATCTGTAGTCCCAGCTACTTGGGAAGCTGAGAAAGGAGATTTATTGAACCCAGGGGACAGAGGTTGCAGTGAGCTGAGGCTGTGCCATTGCACTCCAGGCTGGGTGACAAAGTTGAGACTCTGCCTCAAAAAAAAAAAAAAAAGAAAAGAAAAGAAAAGTTATGGGAGGCCACTGTTTTGAACTGAGCTTCTGCACTAGGCCCCACAGACCAGACCAAAATGAAATGGAATCACCCATATGCTAAATGTCACATAATCAAACGGAAACTTCAAGGAAGCAGACAGATCCCAAAACAGACCAGCTATTCCAGAAAATAGGAGATTTCAGTCTAACTGAGTCAGGGTAGACTTTAATCCTTTACAAAAAAATAACCTGGCCAGGCACGGTGGCTCACGTCTGTAATCCCAGCACTTTGGGAGGCCGAGGTGGGTGGATCACCTGAAGTCAGGAGTTTGAGACCAGCCTGGCCAACATGGTGAAACCCCGTCTCTACTAAAAATACAAAAATAGCCGGGCATGGTGGCGCATGCCTGTAATTCTAGCTACTCAGGAGGCTGAGGCAGGAGAATCGCTTGAACTTGGTGGGCAGAGGTTGCAAAGAGATCCGCGGCACTGCATTCCAGCCTGGGCAATAAAGAGAGAGTCCGTCTCAAAAAAAAAAAAAAAAAAAAAAGAAAAAAGAAAACCTTGAAATAACCTGATGTTAACCAACGAGCTTTTTCTTGTTTGTTTCCTTGGTCTCACCTTATAAAACCCACTGTTGTCCCATTGCCCAGTGGGAGTTCTCATTCTATTTTGTAGAATGGAGGCTGCACAGATTCATGAATCACTAATAAAAGCCAATTCGATCTATAACGAAGTTTGTTATAATTTTGTCTTTTGACAAGTGCTTTGTAAGCTATACAGGCCCATTCAAAATTAGAGGATTACTCCAGGGCTCTGTAAGCAGCTCTTCTTAGGGGCAGTGGGATTCTTTGAAAGGCTAAGAGAGTGACTGAGGGAACACTGGGCCAGAGGCAAGCAGCCAGAGGAGCAATACTGGAGCCTGGGCAACGCCACCCATAAGGCTGACTGGTTATGCGTCAATTACATAGCAAAGGCCTTTGGTGGGGAGTGAAAGCATACGGTGAATATGTGCACCCCACTTTCTCTGAGGATGCCTGCAGGGGGCACAGAAAAGTAGGTGAAGCAACCTCTTAGCTCTGATCTCCCCACATCTGAGGGTGGGGATAGAACTTTTTAGCTCCCTAAATTCTTCAATAAACAAGCAGAATTATACTCAACATGGGTAAGAATGGAACGAGATTGACTGTTTTGGGCAGGAACATCACTAGTATAAGCTATCTGAAGGGCAATTTGGCAATATGTATTAAGAATCAAGGCCAGACGCGGTGGCTCACACCTGTAATCCCAGCACTTTGGGAAGCTGAGGCAGGCGGATCACTTGAAGCTGGAAGTTCAAAATCAGCCTGGCCAACAGAGCAGAACTCTACTAAAAATACAAAAATTAGCCGGGCGTGGTGGTGTATGCCTGTAATCCCAGCTACTCAGGAGGATGAGGCAGGAGAATCACTTGAACCCAGGAGGTGGAAGTTGCAGTCTGCCGAGATGGCGGCACTGCACTCCAGCCTGGGTGATGGAGGGAGACACTGTATCCAAAAAAAAAAAAAAAAAGTTAAAAACGTGCCCAACTACTACTGACCTAGGCAGGGATGCCACTTCCAGAAATCTAGCTGAAATAAATAACCTAGGAAGCAACAACTGTCATGCATAAATACGCTCATTGCCATTTTAACACAGCCCCATAATACGGTACTTGTTAAGAAAATTAGACTTCATTCTTGCAGTAGAATATTAGGTAGTCATAAACATGATGTTTATAATTAGAAATTCTTTAAGATACAATGTTAAATTAAAAAAAGACAAAAGTATACAGTTATTATTATTGAACCATGTAAAAGAAACATGGAAAAACATTCTAAATGATTCACCACAAAATGCTAACCGCGCTGTCTCTGGGTAGTCAGGCTACAGGGGATTCTTCTGTTACTTTATACTTTTCCATATGTTTCCTACTTTTTTTTTTTTTTTTTTGAGATGGAGTCTCACTCTGTTGCCCAGGCTGGAGTGCAGTGGCGTTCTCTCAGCTCACTGTAACCTCTGTCCCCCGGGCTCAAGTGATTCTTGTGTCTTAGCCTCCAGAGGAGCTGGGATTACAGGCATGTGCCACCACGCCCAGCTAATTTTTGTATTTTTAGTAGAGAGAGGTTTCAACATGTTGGCCAGGCTGATCTGGAACTCTTTTTTTTTGAGACGGAGTCTCGCTCTGTCGCCCAGGCTGGAGTGCAGTGGCGCGATCTCGGCTCACTGCAAGCTCCGCCTCCCGGGTTGGCACCATTCTCCTGCCTCAGCCTCCCAAGTAGCTGGGACCACAGGCGCCCGCCACCATGCCTGGCTAATTTTTTGCATTTTTAGTAGAGATGCGGTTTCACCGTGTTGGCCAGGATGGTCTCCATCTCCTGACCTCGTGATCCATCCGCCTCGGCCTCCCGAAGTGCTGGGATTACAGGCGTGAGCCACCGCGCCCGGCCTGGTCTGGAACTCTTGACCTCAAGTGATCCACC